TAATCTAAAACCAATAGCACGAAACCACAGTGGTGACTTCCTTCAATGTCTTTTCAAAGCTTCACATACCTGCACTTTTCCAGGACTACATTACTTCCCGGTCTGTTCAACCTCAGCCCCACCCACCTTCCACTTCACCTCTCTCCTCTCACTCCCTCTTATCTGTGAGGATTCACTGCTCTATGCCTGACCTTTGCATTCCAGGTGCTGTAACAAGTTCGTCATCATTCCATCCTGCAGCCAAATTACTTAAACTACTAGGAAGGATTCTGCCTGATCTGCCAGCACAACTCTTGAAGGGTGTTATTATCTCCATCTTAACTATGAGAAAATAGAGGCAGAGGGAGGTTAGTGATTACCCAGATTTACCCATATACTAAGTAATAGAACCATGACTTGAACTCAGGATTTATGATTCTAAATCCTATACCCCTAAAAATTGATTAGAAAATAATTGAAAATTGCCAACCACTTCTAATAGTAATAAAAACCATAATATATTTAGAAATTAACATACAAAAGTCTAAGAACTTTATGGGAAAAAAGAAAACTTCATTAAAGTACATAAACGAAGACCTCAAGAAGTGAAGAGACATACTATATTCATGGATGGGCATCCAAACAGAACAAAGAAGTCAATTTCCCTCTATATCTCTAACCCACATGCTGTCCCAACCAAAATCATAGCAGGATTTGGGGAGAATTTGACAAGCTGATTCTAAAATGTACGTGGAAATAAAGTCCATGAGTATCTTAGATAATTTTGATAAACACGAGCAAAATGAGGTTTTGGGGGAGGTGAGGTAGTAAAGGAATGGAAACTAGCCCTGCCAAATATTAAAACATATGAAAAAGCCATAATAATTAAAACAACATGATACTGACACAGGAACTGATAAACTAATGGAACTGAATGATCCAGAGACAAATTCATGCATAGAGAGGAACTTGGTATAAAATCCCTAGGAATAAATGGAATATTTGGTAAACGATATTAAGAAGATCAATTTACCATTTGGAGGAAAAGAAAGTTGTATCTCTATTCACATTATTTAGAAAAATTCCAGATCAATAAAGATCTAAATGTGAAAGGAAAACAATAACACTAATAGAAGAAAGCATAGTGGAATATCATAAATGGCCAGACAAATATAAAACAAAGGTTTTTTTACCCAAAATTATTCATCAGCAAAAGAGGGCATTACCTTATATATAAGTCCTCAGGTTTTTTCTTTCCAAATTATGGCCACTCTCTCAAAGCTGTTTGGGGAAGATGCATTATCCTGAAATGATCTCAATTAATAAACATATGAGGAACCTCCATGATGTCTTCCATAGTGGCTGCACCAATTTACATTTCCACCAACAGTGCACAAAGGCTCACCAACAGTATGGAAGTTCCTCAAAAAAATAAAAGTAGAACTACCATATGATCCAGCAATTCCACTTCTGGGTATTTATCCAAAGAAAACAAAAACACTAACTCAAAAAGATATATGCACCCCCATGTTCACTGGAGCATTATTTACAATAGCCAAGATATTGAAATAATCTAAGTGTCCATCGGTGGATGAATGGATAAAGAAATTGTGGTGTACATATATATATATATACATATACACATACATATACTTAATGGAATATTATTCAGCCATAAAAAAGAAGGAAATCTTGCCATTTGTGACAACATGGATGGACCTCGAAGGCATTATATGCAGTGAAATAAGTCAGACAGAGAAAGACAAATACTGTATGATCTCTCTTATATGTGGAATCTAAAAAAAAACTAAGCTCATAGATGCAGAGAACAGATTGATGGGTGCCAGAGATAGGGCATGGGGGATGGGAGAAATGGGTGAACTGTTTGAGGGATTTTTTTAGTTTAAATAAATCGATTAATTCTTTTAAAGGTTAATAGCATAATCAAAAAAATAAGTACATGAGAAGAATTAGAATAAAATTGTTTTATGAAATGTGACAGTGGAAATAATATGCTTATGTTAATGTATTATGTTATAAAATATGTGATTTTAAATATGTGAGTTTGTAACTAAATAAAAGTAGTTAGCAGACATTTGACTATTTCCCTATAACTTCTATAGCCCTAAAACTTTATATAATGAAATTGGTCAAAACCCTTTTAAAATAGTCTCGTTGAGAAAATGGAGTATCACCTTATCACTTCATATTCCAGCAAAAATTGTGTCTTGGAGTTAGAAAGGATTTCTTGAGATCGTAAAAGCACAAACCATAAGGATTTTGATAAAATTAAATAATTCTATTGAGGGAAGGAAGTGAATACAAATTTAACTGATGAGCAGCAAACTGGAAGAAGGCATTTGCAGTATTCATACTGACATAGGATTACTACAGAGAATATATTAGAAATCCCCACAAATTCACAAGAAAAAGACAAGAAAATGCAATTTTTAAAATATGCGCAAGATACGAATCAGCAATTCACAGAGAGAGAAACCTACAAAAAGATGCCCAGCCTCATTAGTAATGAGAGAAAGGCAAATTGAAATGAGATAACCACTTTACACCCACCATATCGCCAACATTTGAAAGTCAAATAACTTCAAGTGCTAATGATGAAAAAAGAAAATGAGAATGACCTTACTCTGTTGGTGGGAGTGTAAACAGTTTATGATCCCCGAATTAAAGAAATTACAAACTGGTTGGGTGAAAAAAATTGACATATGAAACAAGGCAGCATATCCTTGAGAGCAAAGTCTGGTGAAATGCACTAAGTCTTGGAAGAGTTTTTTTTTTTTTTTTAAGACGTTTTTATTTTTTTTCCTTCCCAAAGACACCCAGTACATAGTTGTATACTCTTAGTTGTGGGTCCCTCTAGCTGTGGCATGTGGGACGCTGCCCCAGCACGGCCCAATGCGGGTGCCATGTCCACGCCCAGGATCCAAACTGGCGAAGCCCTGGACCACCGCAGCGGGGTGTGCAAACTTAACCACTCGGCCACCCGGCCAGCCCAGGAAGAGTTTAATAAAGGTCGATTACAGCTGGAGGATTAGGGATGGGTTCATGGAAGAAGACGAACTTGGGTTGGATCTATGGTGTTGTTTAAGATGAGAAACACACTGAGCAGAAAGTGAAGGCATTCCAGTGAGAAAAAAATCCCTGGACAAATGCCTTAAAGTGAGGACAGACACGACACTGTCAAGGAAGAGTGGTAAAAACCAATTCACTGAAGAACAGGATTCCTGCTAGGAAGACTGGGTAATATTTTTTATTAGAAGGCAGACACCAGACCAGAGAGGATCTTGAATGCTTCTCAAGTATTATAAGTAATAGTACCATAGGATTCTTTTTTTTTTTTTTGAGGAAGATTAGCCCTGAGCTAACAGCGGTTGCCAATCTTCCTCTTTTTGCTGAGGAAGGCTGGCCCTGAGCTAACATCCGTGCCCATCTTCCTCTACTTTCTATGTGGGACGCCTACCACAGCATGGCTTGACAAGCGGCGCCGTGTCCACAACCGGGATCCAAACGGGTGAACCCCAGGCCGCCAAAGCAGAATGTGTGCACTTAACCACTGCGCCACTGGGCTGACTGGCCCCCGTAGGATTCTTGACCAGAGAGCATCTAACCTAAGCCCATCATATTACAGATGAGGAATTTGAGGCCCAGAGAGTGACTTGGTTAAGGTCACACAGCATAATAAAGGTAGTTTTAAGGCTTGACTGGCAGGAAATTCTGGATACGTTGGAAAATAGAGAGATAGAAATCAGAAAGAACTAGAAAGCAATAAGAGACGGGTGTCGAATAGTAAAATGAAAAGAAAAAGAAAAGTATCTCGAGGAGAGAAAATAGAATACTTGAAGGGAAATTCAAAGTAAGTTCCAGAAAACAGAAAGAGGTTAATGATGCTGCTCAGTTCCCCTGTGAAAATCCTTGCTAAGTTATTGAGCACCTTTCCTATGTGCTAAATACTGTTCTAAGCATTCTATAGATATTAACTTATTAAATAAGCTTATTAAATAAACTTCACAACAACCCTGTTAAGGTGGGCACCATTGTTATCATCATCCTTTTACAGAAAATGATACCAAGGCACAGAAAGGGTAAGTGACTTGCCCAAGGGCACACAGCTAAAATTTGATAGTGACGATTGAATTCCCAGCAGTCTGGTTCCAGAGCCCATTCTCTTAATCAGTGCACGTGCTGCGCTTAGAAATGAGATGGTTTAGAGGAAGTACCAACTCCTGGGAAGAACTGGATATTTTCCCTTAGATTAGATTCTGGTACAGTTCAAAGAACAGAGACTCCCTCAACAATAGCAACATAATTTCACTCTTAACCTTAATGCCACTCCCTCCTCCAAAGCAACTCCCAGACCCTAAGGAAAGCAAGAAATAAAACATGCAAAGTAATTTATCACCAGCGGTCATGTGCTCCCTGCCCCCACTGTCGGCCCAGGACAGCACTGTCACAGTTCTCCTTGGATGATCCAGTCAGGCCAAAGAACAGGTTGTTAGGAAGGGCCCATGAATTCTGAGTCCTTCCACGCTGCTCATACTTCACTTCAGGAGCTTGATGCTGTTCTCACAGAACCGATATGACGGAGTTAGAATAGCATCTGAACGCTGATTTTTCCCACTCCTGAGCTCCTGATTTCCCAGCTGTGGTGCAGGCTAAAGAAAGTTACATATTTCTCAAGACAGCCTATACTAGGCATAAACATTTTCACACACAGTAAAGTGCAAAAAAATCACAAGCAGGTTCCTCCACCATTTTGTGAGCAGATTATCAGAAAGTAGCTCTGCCTTCATTTGTCACATATTTTACACAAACTGGGAGGAGTAAAAGCCATTGTGCTGAGACCAGGGAACAGGAGTTGGCTGAGGAGTTAGGGGTTTTCCCATTTCCCTCCCAACTGAGGGCAAGCCTTGTTCAGGTTAAGGCATGTTGAATTTGAAATGAAAACCCACTCAAGTTGCAATATCCAGAAACAAAATATGAGTTAAAAAAAGAAGCCACACCAATATTAACAAATGAGATTTATTGCCTTGAAGTAGAAAGGGATGTGGTCATGATAGAAGGGCCACTCTGGGTTCTCCCGAATGTAAGCCCAGGGACAGCAGAGCCCCCAGCCGAGAAACCTATAGACACACACACACACACACACACACACACACACACACACTGGGGGAGTCCCAGGGACTTCTGCTCTGAGAGATCCTGGGCTGGATGCGGGAAACCTGAGCACCCTCTGCTTGGATGGTTGAAGCTGTTGGCATCAGACTCCGGTCAGGAAGAATCAGCCTGAGGAGAGAAGGATGGAGGAAGGCCATCAGAGGGATCCCCAAATGCCCCTACCTGCCTCCAGCACACCCTACAGAAGCTGATCTCTCCTTGTCCCCAAATAAATCATCTCCAAGCACCCTTCCTACAGCTCTGCATAGCACTCCTCTCCCACTCAAACCATTCTTGTGACCTATAACTATGTGTGTGTCATCAGGACCCCAACTAGGAGGATGTCCCATGGAGCCCAATACAACCCTCCCCACTCACGGGCCTGAGGATCACTATATGTGCTCCCCATGCCACAGGATAATCCTGGCACGTCCACACAGGCACCACTGTATCTGGCTCCCATGGCTTGCCCACCCCTTCCAGATGCCCTGACGTACCACCTGAGCAAGGCCTTCGGAAGTAGATGATGAGGACTAAGCCAACAATGATGCCCAGCACACCCAGGCCAAAGGCCACGCCACACAGCACATTCTCCAGAAGATCTGAGGGCAGGGCATTCTGGGGCACTGGAGAAAAAGGGGAGCAGGTCAGACTGTAGACCCAGTTGGGAAGCCCCCCCCCCCCCCCCGCCGACTCAGGGGAATGACATGAGTGTCTGGGATGACAAGGGAGAAACTGAGGCATTGAAGATTGAGGTTGGCTCAGAGTGAGAATGGAATACACAAGATCAAGTAGAGAAAGAAGCCCCTCCCATGGGTCCACCCCTCTTTGCTCTGAAAAGGAACCAGGCTTCCAGGAAGAAGGTTCTCACCCCAATAGGCAATTGCCGTGTAGCCATCAATTTCATGAGTCACGATGCAGGAGTAAACGTCATTGGGTGCCGGTGTGAAGTTTAAGTAAGAAAAGGCCTGGAAGCTGAGTCCATCAACGGCTGAGACAAACGTGGGCCCTGCTCCTTCCACAGGGGAGAACTGATGCTGCCAGTTCACCGTCAATGTGGGTGGGAAGAGATTACTGACAGAACAGACCAGCGTGTTGGGCTTGCCAAACTCCAGGGGCTTCAGCGTGTACACCTCAGTGATAGGGATCCCTGGTGGGGGGATTGAGGTGTGAGGGAAAGAAGTGACTAGTTTAGATGGTATCCCTGTGTTTGGAGGGAACATGGCATACAGAAGGGAGGGCAGAGAGAGAGTCAAGGAGGGTGGGCTTTGGGAGGAGAGATGAGGGAGGAGCTGGGCCTCTGAGGACGGTCTTCTTCCAGGCGAGAACCAGACCGGACCTACAGGCAGAGCCAGATCCAGGCCACTGTAGACCCCTCCACCCTGACTTCTTGAAGCACTTCCTATCTAGACCTCACATGGGCATGCTGTCTCCTCATTAAAACACAGGCTTATCATCAGATACTCCCATTCTCCCCTTCCATCTTACTGAGCATAGTGACACAAGCTGTAATATTCAGCAGGCATCACTGGGTCCCTGTTGAATTCATCAAGTTCAATAAATAGTTTTGAATGCCTGCTACGTCCTAGGCACTTGTCTTCTGCCCCACAACAAGAACAGAGCGCAGATGAGGGGTGGCAGAAAAATAAAGGTCGTAGGGGAGAATTAGAAGGCGTTAGAGATGGGGCACTAGTGTGAGGGGGAATAATTTAGTGTATAGATTAATGAGGTTAAGAATGCAGCCCTCTCTCCCCATTCCCCAAAAAACTCCTGACCTCTAGACACTGGGATTTGTCCTTCAAGATTTGGGCCTATTTCCTGGATCATCTCCTGGCAGAAGGTTTTGTCAAAGAAAATGTTGGAACTATCTCCAGCCTTCTGAGCCCAGTCAGTGAATTCCGGCAGGCGAGGCACGCGAACGTTTTGGGAAAAGTTGAAGGAGAAAAGCTGGTCCTCGTCGTAGGTCTCAGAGAGTCCCACGCTGGGACTCCAGTCCTGGCAGTATATTGTGTGTAGGAATGTGTGGTTTTCCAGATCATCCCGCCACACTGGAGTAGGAGCTGCAAAGGAGACAGGGCGGGTTCAGGGAGGTGCATGCCTCCTCCTCTCTCTTAGCTTAGAAAACAGTGAGACCTGCTTCTGGGAGAAGGGTTAGGGGCGGGGCATAACCCCTCTTGTGTCTGTTATTTAGGCTCTCCCTCCCAATGTGGGTGAAGAAGAAATTACAGGATCTCTCCAAACTTCCCCTGCCCAGAAAAGGCCAACTGTCCAAAGTGGTAAAAAGTAAAAATAGTCTACTGTCTAAAGTGACAGATTCAGAGTCACAATCTTGGTTGTGTGCTTGTGCACTGCACAAAGGCACTCAGCCGTGGAGGTAACTGGAGGCTGAAATCTAGCCTGCACCCTGCTCACCAAGCCATGCATCCTGGCACAAGGCTGCATTCTCCCGGAGGGTATAGTTTAGTCCAATTCACAGAAGGCCACCAGACTGACTTGTGAACGGCCTGGATGGGTTCCCCAGTCTCAGACAGGAGGGTGAAGGAATGGTCATGGTCTCCCCAAGCCATAGATGACACTGCCCCCTCCTATCCCCAGACAACCTGGTAAACTGAAAAAACAGTCTCCAGGCTTCTCTTCAGCCACTTCATCAGCACCAGGCCTCTCTGAAATTGTCTTCCCCTCCCTCAACCCTCTGGCCTTGCAATGACAGGATTGGGGGAGGTGACCTCATAGCTGCAGGAAATAATCCCTATTCTTTGAAACTCCTGGAGGAATCCCCCCGGCCAGCTGGAACCTTCTACCCAACACCCAATACCCAGAACAATAGACCTTTAGAGTAAGAGGGATCTTCCAGATTATTCTTCCATTCTGCCTGGCCCTTTACAGAGAAGGAAACTAAAGACCAATAAAGCTAAGAGACTTTTCAAGAATCACAAGCTGAGTCGATGACAGAGTGCAGAGTAGTCTCCTAGGTAAAAGAGTGGAAATAACATTTGCTTTGTTCAAATCCCAGCTCTACCACTTTCCAACCACATGAACTTGCACAAGTTACTTAAGCCCCCTGTCTCATTTTCTTCCTCTGTAAAATGGATATAATAATCTCTGCTTCAAGAGATGGTCTTAAATGGAATATATAAAGCACTCTGACATTGTTTGCCAACCATCCATAGTTCATCTCTTTCCCAATCCTGCTATTGTTTCCACTATCCCATAATACTTCCCACCACTTACAAAGCACAGGGCTCTTCTTCAGTGTCCTGGGTTGGCTCCCTAGGCTCTAATCCATCAGGATTGAAGTAAAGGGGAGGAGGTATTGTCATACCTCTAGGGGCCGTCCAGGACTGGGGCAGCAGCCACAGAAAGGGTAACAGTCTTAGCAGCGCAGCTCCCTGGCTCTGATCATGATCCATAGCTTCACGCCACACAGTGGGCTAGGAGCTACCCACCAGCTGACCTAGGTCCCCAAACTCCCTCCCCAGACGGTGTTGTGTCAGCTCACTTCCAATAGTCGCCCTTGTCATTTTGGCTAAACCAATCACAGAAGTGTAGGGTTTAACGTCATCAGTCGCTGGGAAGACACCTGGGGCCAGCAACCTCCTGAAGACCTTGCTCTTTTACCAGGCCAGAGTAGGTTGTGTAAGTGGCTTGGTAGGCAAGGGAGGAGTCTGCCTCCTGCTGGGGATCCCTCTTTAGTATCAGGCTGTCAGCCTCAGCCTGTAACCGGACCAGCGGGCTCTTCGGCGCAGCACCGCCCCGTGGCAGAATGCTGCAGTGGGGAAGCTCATCTTCCCACAGCAAACCCCCTGGGCTCTTCAGACCACACCTCCTCCTCCCTCCCGACTCCCCTCCTCTTCTCAGAGAGGTATTCTCCTTCAGGCATTAGCTTCAATGCGTTTTGCAGAAATATACTGAAATTTTAGAAAGTACTAGGTATTGGGCCCACAGCTAGAAATACAAAGGTGAATAAGGCATATTCCTGCCTTCAAAGAGCTTAAAGTCCAGCAGGAGGGGAGTCAATGAATAAATAATTACATGACAATGTAATATATTCAAATAAGAATGTTTCGGAAATAGTAATTTTATGAGGATGGAGGAATAAGTGGGACATAAGGTTTCTAACAGTCTTGAAGGAAAACCATTTTGACCAGCAGAACGTGAGGGAAGAGAAAAGCATTCCAGCGCAAGGTCAGAGGCACTCAGAGCTCCTTCCTTAGGAGACCTCTGGGTAGCTGGATGTGTATGTTACACAGGCTGCTAGTGTGTCCCTGTTTGGTAATGGGGAGGAGTGAGGGAGGGTCAAGATGAGCTGGAAATTTAGGCAAGAGCCAAATCACGTAGGTCCTGTTATGCCCCAAGGAGGATCTGGCTTTTACTTAGCAGATGACAGAGATATTAAAACTGAGGAGTGACACAATCATTTTAACATTTTAGAAAAACTGTTTTGATATTTCAAACAATGGGAGCTTGGAAATAATTCAGGCAAAACTGCTGGTCAAGAGTCTATAGTATATTACATCAAAATAAAAAATTGCACCCACACACCTCACACCACCCTCTTACAGCAATATAGCAATAATTTGGGTGAGAAATAAGAGCCTGAATTAAGTCTTCAACGGAAGATATGGAGGAAATCAAATACTGAGATCATTAGGAAGCAGAATCTAAAGGGCTTGGCTACTGATCAGATGCGGGAAGGCGAGATAGAGGGATCGAGGATAACATCAAGGCCTCTATATTGGGTAGTTGGGTGGGTGGTGAGTGATGGACTGAAATGAAATAGATAAGAATGCCATAGAAGCCAGTTTGATGAAGAAGAGAGCGAGTTCAGTTTTGTGCGTGTTGAATTTGAGATGCCAGTGGAACAACCATGCAGGGAGGTGTGAAGTGCATGGGTATGGGTCTCAGGTATGGGCCGAAAACCTTAATGGACTCATCAGCCCAAATGTTGAAGCAGAGGCAGTGGCTAAGATCACCAAAGCAGACTGTGCAGAGAGAGCAGGAAGAAACACAAGGAGATAAGTCTACATGGACTCAAACCCCAAACCTCATATCAGTTATCATCCAGGATCCAGCCAGGAACATATAGCCACTCTAGATATTTCAGACTGAGAGAATTTACTACAAAGAATCAGTTACAAAGAGGTTCAAAGGGCAATAAGTGCAAAAGGGAAAAAGAGTGGCTGAAGGAGCAAATAGGAAAGAGGAATATCTGGAAATCAGAAGCTGCTATTGCACCTGAACTGGAATCCAGGTCTACAGCTGCTGTTGCCATGGGGGAGACACTGTCATCGCTGGTTCTGGATCTACTGAAAAGGTGTCATCTCCATCAAGGCTGGATCACTGAGAAGGTACTTCCTCTGCCCAGGAGGCAGGAGTCCAGAATCACCCATTCTTACTGCTGCTACATCTACCAGCAACTGCCACTCTCCTAGAAACTAAAGCTGGAAGCTTCTCGGTTTCTCCTGCTTTCTGATCTCCTGCCAGAGCCTCCTATTGAGAGAATCTAACAGGAAGCCAACTAGTCAGGAAGGCTGGGAAGTACACACCTTGCAGACTCCTAGGCTGAGCAGTCCAGAACACAGTATAGGAGGGTGGACCTGGCACTGGCACTAGATAATAACCAGTACACTGAAATGCACTAATTTGTAAGAAGCGGGTGCCACCAGGAACATTCGGCTAGGAGAAGAACAAGGAAGAAGTAGAATCAGAGAAATAAAGGTGTTCCACGGACAAGGGCAAGATCAACACTATCAAATGCTACTCAGAAGTCAAGGAAGAACTGGAAGTGTCCTTATATTTGGTAATTATAAGATGGTTGACAAATTTATTGAGAGCAGTTTCAGTGTTGCAGTGGGAGTCAACTCCAGATTGTGGTGGGCTGAGGAGTAAGTGGGAGGTGAGGAAGAAACTGTCAGTGTATATGCTGCAAGTTTGATAGAGAAGAAGAAAGAAAGACAGAAGGGGTGGGGGAAGAGGCAGTGAGAAACATCTAATGTGGCAATTAAGTAATCTTAGAAATTAATCTATGTGAATATGGTCCAACAGTGTTTCTGAGTTTCAAAATCCACACTCCCTTCTCAAAATCCAGTAACAGCAGCAATAACAACCCCAAACAAAAAAAACACCCACAACCTCCTGGATATTCTGAAACCCTAGTATGTGTGTGTGTGTGTGTGTGTGTGTGTGTGTGTGGTGAGGGCAGGAGGAGTGCCAGGGTCGGTGTAGGTTTTGGAAATCACTGTGTTACACTTCAAAAAACAGAACATTTTCCCAGTGTCCCACTCTTTATGGACTAACTCATCAGTAGTTCCTGCGGTGGAAAGATTTGGGCTGTTAGGAAAATAGAAGGCAAGTTTGTGACATCACCAGGACTGTAGGGGGAGATACATGACACACAGCCACCTAGGGTGTCGGTAAACTTTTTCCATGAAGCATCAGATAGTAAATGTTGTACGCTTTGTGGGTCACTCAGTCTCTGTCATGAGTACTCAGCTGCAGCATGCAAACAACCACAGGAAACATGTAAATGAAAGCGCATGGCTGTGCTCCTAGTTTCCTCCTGGCTTTCCCTCCCACTTCTCAGACATCTCCTTCTCAGTTTCCTTCGTGGACTACTTTCTTTCAGCAAGTCTTTAAATTTGGCGTTCCCTGGAATTTGGTTCTTAACCTTTTTTACTTATGGACACTGAAATCTAAATTTCATGAGTCACAAAATATAATTCTCCTTTCGCTTTTTTCCAACCATTCAAAAATGTAAAAACCACTCTTATTTCTCAGGCCATATGAAAAGACAATGGACTGGATTTTGCTCACAGGCCATAGTTTGCTGAACACTGTCCTACGCGTGTGGTCAGAATTGGGATGGGGGACCCAAAATAAACCCGCCCTCCAAAGCGAGGCCTCATTCCCCCTTGGGGGTGGCAACTGGCTAGTGAATACATTGTGCCCCAGATACAAGAGATCGTTTGTAAGGAGCTTTGGGGTGAGGGGAACAGGAGGAAGAGGACTGGGTGGGAGGGCTGGGCACAGGTGTAGCAGACGCTGCAACTACTCTGGGTGG